CTCGATAAGCAAGTGCTAAGTCACTTGAATGAATCTGTCTTGCGTCAAAATTCATTTCAATGAAGAACACGTACTTCGGGGACATATCCCGATGATACTTACTTTCCAAAACACTATACTGCTTTTCCCAAATGAATTAGCTCTTCTTGCCACTATTTATTAACACAGTACTGCAATATTTATATTTTTATTTATCCATATGGCGCTTCTCACTCTTCATTGAGGGTCTCTGTGACCTTCACATAATACTCTACGAATTCCATTATGATCTAAACGTACTGTCTCTTTTCCACAGAGCCGGCAGCTCCAGCTGGCACACTTGAGACTCCAAGGAAACATTTCAATGCATCCGCAAGCATGCAATGAGGATCCGAATCAAACATTCTCTTCCAGAGCTCTGCCTACCTCAAGTTCTATTTGCCCCGAAATCACAACGGCAGCGAACATTGCCACTTCCGTTGCGCCTACCTTGACGCCTTCCGATTCTTCGAATTCCTCTTCCTCTACTTCGTCCACCTCTTCGACTTCCTCTACCTCCTCCACTAATTCAGGAAGTTCCCTGACTTGCGATCTTAACGATAGTGGAGTTGTCCTCCTCTCTACCATGCAGGCCTCACCAAACTCTCGAAAGCCTTCTGCTTCTTCTGCGCTAGAGAAGCCCGGTACACTCGTTCCACCTGATGTTAGTTATCATGAGATACTATCCTCATCCACTGGAGCTCACCCGGAGCCAATATATGTGCCAAAGACTTCCACCACTTGTTCACTTGTTTCTACTGCAACAGCAACAGCAACAGGCTCTCCCTCTTTTGGAGATACTTTAGAAACGATGGGTATATATGTGGAAGTCGACGAAGACACTGAACCGCACCTTCGGTATCGTCATACCAGACACAGACGCCTTCGGGCAGCGTCGGCTTCCCGATCCTTATACCCCTCCAACTCTTCCACTGTTTCTTCCTCCACATCTACTTCTCCCATTCGTTCCTCTATCTCCAACTCTTCCCCCTCTTCTCCTTCGTCTCCATCTCCTCCTCTTGTCAACACAGCACGAACCTCCATGCTACGAGCGAATCGTCTCGGAGTGCGGCCACATAGTCACGTTCTCTCCTCCCGACTCTGTGCTGCAGAGCCTCGACAGTCTACTTGCCAGTTTATTGCACCCCTCTACGATGAAGTGGCTGACGTAGATGGGCGCCGGGGGGCTTGGATTTTCCAGCAGGGTGACACTAGCAATGCTAAATTGGCGTCAAAAACTGAAGCGAAGTCGGTACAGATGAAGGAAGAAAATAATGACGAAATATATGAGTTTCCTGAGTGTTGGCGAGGGCAATCATCCTTTCATCCCTCACCAACGACAGCCGAAATAGTAGACAGGGCTCCTTGCGCTTCTGGTAATTTATGGACATTGAAAGCGATAACCAATATATTTTTTAAACTTCGCTAATTTAGAGCACTCTTGCATAGGAGCTGACATTATATCTCCTCCACTACTATCTTTTCCCTTTCTTCACACCCGTGGTCTTGTTGACAAATTCTTTTGTCGACTTTTGATCCATAGTTGCCTCAAAATTAATCCTATGTAGTACAGAAATTTTCACATTCGTAATTTACAAATTATTCTCTGCTTTAATATCATACTTCCTCATTTCTTGAGCCGAATAGAGTTTTTCTGGCAATCAATAATATGGCCCATGAGTGGTTCACGAGATAAATATTCAGGAAGAATTCGCCTACCCTGCGTAAGCCCGCTAAGAAATATCAAAACAAGCACGACAACCGAACATACGATATTTGTGATGACATAGGCCTTGACTCTTAGCGGAGTTTGCAAGTGATCTAATCGCCTATATGAAATGAATAGGGCCTCGCAAAAGCCTCTTCGAAAAGGTATTTGGGACTAGAGTCTACTAATTACTTGCTTTTAACTTTAGGCCAAACTATAAAGCTGATGGTACAAGAGTGACGGAATTCCCACAAGTTTGATGTGCGTTGGATCAACTGTCACCAAATAACCTCGCAAATTTCCGTTAACTAACTAACAAGATAATCTGCGTAAAAGTGAGTTAGATTAGTTGCTAACTTACTTTGTAGATGTGGTGATGGTATCTATGCCAAACAATATGAAGAGTACATTTAAATCTATACCAATTGCATCACCAAAATAATTTACTAATTTCTTGACTAGTTAAGTATGCGGATGAAAGGAGCATTCTTAATAGATTAACCTAACTAAAAATTATCATAATTCATTCAGCAATTGGCAACAATATCAGACTTATTGCCCGATATCCCTATGTGCCTGAACGAATCTATTAATAAGATATGATGCTTTACTTTTTACTTAGTTATCCTAGGTTGCATAAGGTAATGAAGGGCTATTACTTAACTTTTACCACAATGATTAGGGTATGCTTGACTATGCCATTGGATGTCACTTAGCCTTTCCTCTAAAAAGGTATTCTCATTCAGGCCAGAATGCACTTGCGACTTCGCTCATGTCTCATCACCTCCAATGGAAATTTAGCTCGGTTTACAGGGCGGGCGTAGATTTAGATGCAAGCTAGTGAGGCCAGTTTAGATTCATAGTTAATAGAGTTCGATACTATTAGTGGATCTTGAGCACTAAATGTAGTCACTCTGCCGTCAACCTTGGATAAGGATACCTTTTAGGAGGCAAGGCTAAACGAAATTCAGTGTCATCGCCAGTCCTGCTGTTTGGTACCAACCCTTTATCACCTGCAGACTACGATGACTACAACTCTTCTTCTTGATCCACGGATAGCATAAAAACTCATAAATTATAAATTTATTTATTTAGCCATGATTCCAATAATTATCTGTACTTTTGTCAAATTAGTTGGTCTACTCTGGTTTGCTAACCTGCGCATCATATAACTCGATACTTTACTTCATTCTCAAAGTTCTTATAAGTTATCAGTTATGCACATCTCCCTCTTACAACCATTGTGAATATTACTGTAAATCTCAAAATTATTAGCTTTGCTTTCATTAGTAATTTTAATTCAATTTAATCATTTTCGGGGTCTGACTTTGAGACCAATGAATCTCTTCTCTGTCTGCTTAAAGATCATGGCATAGAAATATTTTTAAGCTGCTAGTATTTTGCTAGAACACCATCTTGGTTTTACATGTCTTCTATTATAATCTCTATTTTTTTGAAGTTGTTTGGTCTTGTTTT